GCTTCCAGGGTTCAAGCGATTCTCCTGCCTCAGCCTCCCGAGTAGCTGGGATTACAGGCACGAGCCACCACACCCAGCTGATTCTTGTATTTTTAGTAGAGATGGGGTTTCACCATGTTGGCCACGCTGGTCTTGAACTCCTGAGCTCAAGCGATCCACCCACCTGGTTTCTAAGTACAGTACTTAACATTACAGCAGCCGTTCATTTCTATAGATGGAAGAAGGTGGCAGGAAGAAGAGTACCAGCTAATTACAAGTATCTTTTAAATTAAAGAATTTTAAGTAATTGTTTGAAAGAGATCACAGCAACAGAATAATTTAAATAACCTTCACCAGTTTTTCACGTGGTTGAGAAAATCTTGAGTTAGAACGGTTGTGGGGAACCAGCTGTAGAAGAGAAAATTGGAGTCAGAGATGGACCTGAAATGTCCACATGGAAAAAAACAAGTAAAGGAATGAGAGGATGAGGGGTTCCTACATGGTGCCGATACATTTTATGATAATTTTCACTTATATTTTCTTTGGATTGTCTTAATGATGTAATCAACTCTTGCTCACGTTCATTTGTTATTTGTTGCTGTTTTTGGGGGGAAGCTTTAAACTATCTCACTTATTGATCTGGAGTATAGGAACCCAGCACTGGCTTGTTCCAGTACCTTCACTTGGCCTCACTGTTGTGATGCACTGGGCCACCCCTATGATTGTGAGTCTATAACAAGTAATTTGTTTCTGAGAAGATTAAAGCACTACACTTTGAAAATTATTTAGTGTTTTAAAATTTGACGATAGACTTGCATTTCAACAGGATTTTTTGAGTTCGAATGAAATGGGGGTAATATAACCCTAGTACAGAAAATCGTATACTTAACGGTGTCATCACTGTGCAGACTGCTGTTCAGAGGTGAAATGGGAGAAGAAAAAGACACATTTAAACAGAAACCATTATGCAATTAACAGGCCCCCTCTTCACCCCCGACCTCCACCCCTGTCAAGCAACTGAGGTCTCAGGACTCCTGCCTGAGCAGAACAGAGGGTTTTCCATTTCTTTTGACTTCAATTTGTTGAAAACGTTGTCCAAAAGTTGTGACACAAGTCAGGCCATAATTCTTCTGATCCATAATTAGGCTGTTTAGCTTTACTCTCTTAATGTTCAGATACACTTGACTGCTACAGCCGGGCAACTCTCGGTATTGTCTCTCTCGTCTCCAAATAGTGGGTAAAAGCTTGACCTCGAACATTTGTGTTGGAAGGGTTAGACCACAGAGTTTGTTTGGTCCTAAGCTCCTTAAACTGCGATGTGTACACCGAACATATTCTGATTCTTACAGTAAACGTGTTGCATTAAGCTTTGAACTTGGTAGAAGAAAGCTTTGGCCAGTTAGTCTTTTTTTTTTTTTTTCCTCATTAAAAAAATAGACTTATCAGAATAGACTACGAAATGTGTGAATTTTAAAGATAAATGACAGGTCTTCAAAGCAGTTTATCTTTGCGAGAGTCACGTTAAGCTGGGCCTCTGACCTCAGGAGACCCTCCCTTGTTTTTCCTCTTCTGTTCCTGAAGGAAGATCTGTTTGCATTTGATTATTCCCTTCGCAGGTCAGTGAAATTGCCAGCCACTAGCTGTCTTGTTCAGAATTTTGAGATTATATGAGGATATTATGAAACACTGGAACTTGAGTACACTATATAACCATTGCCCAATGAGCAGTTAAACTACAAATGTTTGAGAAACCTAAGAATGGTAGCAAGAGGACTTTTATCTTGGTTTTGAATAAAAAGTCAGTCCCTTTGGGGTTGTTTTCATAAACAGTGAGTTATAAGTGATTCCATTTAGGAGAAGAAACACTTCATGTGCTTTAGTGTAGATGGTGAGAGCCATTTGGCTCTAAATGAAAACATTTGTTTCAGGTGAGCCGTGGTCTTTTACATGTTCCCTTTGTCATGAGGGGCCTTGAAAATGCAGAAATGCACCTAAGTTCTTCACTGTAGAAGAATTCTGGTGGGTGTTACGAAATTCTTTGTAATGAGATTATAAAATCTTTTCATGATTTTTAAATAATCAGAACTTAGTTTTGTCACATCTTCATTGGTAATCCAGGAGCAAGGTGTTGTGTGGCCACAGTGTGGGCACTGGGGGGAGTACAGTTACTTTCATGTTTTGTGGTAAAATAACATACTTGTGGTGTAAAGGTATTTCTGTTGAACCAGCTTAGTACAGCTTGAGATAAGCAAATTCTAGCTAGAAAGTTTTAAATAAATCGTTATATCCTCTTAAAAAAGCCCTGTATACCAATACTTATGGGATCAGTAGTAGAAAAAACAAAAACAAAGAAGGTGTATATTTAGCATCGTTGTAAGTTGTGGAATCTGAACAAGATTCTGTTTTTCCTAACTAGCATTTTAGCTTTGTTTCCCTAAGTTAGACTTTTTTTTTTTTTTTTAAAGAGTTAAATCTTGGGAAAAAGACTTCCAAATTCTATACACTTTTAAAAAAAGATCATTGAAGATATTATGCAAAAGTAAAAAGTAGCTTTTCTCAGTATTCATTTATTCTTATTTTAGCCTGTAGAGAAAAAGTTTGACAATACAGTAACAGTTTCCTTTGAAAATCATAGGGATGATTAAGAATTGTTGGTTGTGATTTTAACATTTATCCATCAAGACTGAAAAATGTCACCTTACAGATGGGGGGCTGGAAGCAGAACTTTGGCTACCAGCCTTTAAGGTCAGGGTGATCCACAGGTGGCCATAGGAGGAAACTGTAGGTGTGTGCCTGTTGGCAACACAGATGTTTAGAAAATGAGCTCACTTCTGATGGGTCCATAGTACATGTTCCTTGCAGTCAGGACATTCTGGGAGTCATCAGCTAAAACAAGGAAACAATACAAACACTAGCAGGAAACCCCAAATGACTGGCCTCGGCACCCCACTGGTTGTATAAGTTGCGTTGTAGGCAAGAGTTGCTGAACAGAATTCTACCCACTGACCTCTCCTGCTGGATCTCCACCACGCCTCGCTTGCTAAGCCTTTGCTCCTGCCTTTTGTCAGCCTCCTCCTGCCGATCCCCAGCATGTTCTCTCTTGGTCTCTGCTTGGCATAACACAAAAAGGCACTGACTCAGAAACTGGGAGGCTTCTTGTCCTGGCACCTTTGTTGACCAATTGGGTGACATTGGGCTAATTTCCTGACCTCTTTGTGGACCTTAGTTTATTCACATTTAAAATG